TTCCTGTTGACGTTAATGTTAGCTAGTTCCTGTTGACGTTAATGTTAGCTAGTTCCTGTTGACGTTAATGTTAGCTAGTTCCTGTTGACGTTAATGTTAGCTAGTTCCTGTTGACGTTAATGTTAGCTAGTTCCTGTTGACGTTAATGTTAGCTAGTTCCTGTTGACTGTTACGTTAATGTTAGCTAGTTCCTGTTGACGTTAATGTTAGCTAGTTCCTGTTGACGTTAATGTTAGCTAGTTCCTGTTGACGTTAATGTTAGCTAGTTCCTGTTGACGTTAATGTTAGCTAGTTCCTGTTGACGTTAATGTTAGCTAGTTCCTGTTGACGTTAATGTTAGCTAGTTCCTGTTGACGTTAATGTTAGCTAGTTCCTGTTGACGTTAATGTTAGCTAGTTCCTGTTGACGTTAATGTTAGCTAGTTCCTGTTGACGTTAATGTTAGCTAGTTCCTGTTGACCTGTTGACGTTAATGTTAGCTAGTTCTTGTTAACATTAACGTCAACAGGAACTAGCTCTTTGGTCTTTCAGTTTATCTGTGGACATAAATGAATGGATTTAAGCATTAGAGACATTTTTCTATTCCTTCTTTTAATCTGGTTAAAAATACATATTTTGGTTTCATAATTAATTGTAACATCTCCTTTAAAGACCTTATGACGGGTTTGATTTATTTAGAAATACAGTTTTAATACCATTTTATATTAGAAGAGAACTACTAAAGATTTCAAAATCAGTTGTTGTTTTTTTTTGTCTGATCCCCCCAAATCAAAATAACCCCATAGCAACGCCCTTAGAAACGAAAAAACTTCACAGCCCTTGGTGACGTCAGAACGGGTACGTTTCAACGCTGTAAGTTGTTTACAATTTGGTATTCGTTCTTTTTTCGCGGATATTCAAGACGACAAGGCCGTGTACAGCGAGTCTGAGATAACTACTAGATTGTAACATTTTGTTGGTACTGAGATAGTCCAGTGGTTGTGTCAATGGACTGCCAATCTAGATACTGGGGTCAAATCCCACCTCAGACATATTTTCACTCTCAAAACGGCAACTTATGTGTAGTGAGCAATTGTCACCTGTAGAGGGCAGTATTGTGTTGGGCATCAGTGGAGAGAAGAGAGAAAAGGCAGTCCTGTGGCATAGATCCATGGTTTTCAGTGCATGGGCGTTACCCGCTGTGATGTCACACACAGGTTAGAGCATAGACAACTTAAATTCATGAAAAACACGTTCTTTTTATAAAATATAGGATTTTTTTTGCCGGAATCTCTTTCAAATTTACATTGTCATGCAATTTTGATATCCACTATTTTTTTTTTAAAAACCCGTCATAAGGTCTTTAAGTGATCAATAAAAAATAAAAAAAACTCTCTGATTCGCAGTCGTTTATCCGCCTCTTTGATCCTGGGCTGGTGTTATTTCTGCCGTTGTCGTTTGCGTTTGTGAAGTGGCCTGTTTGTTTTTGCTTCGCCGAGTGTGAATCGAGTCTCTCTCCAAAGGGGAAACTCATGATGGCCGCCTGAGCTTTTCCGCAGCCGGGGATTCTGGGAAAATGGCACAAAACATCCATTGTGTGGGTAGAACAGTGCTAACATCCAAACGCATTAGCAAACGCACGTAACTGTTTGTGTGTGAGTATTGATCATGGCCTTTGAGCCGCGGACACGGAGATAAACTGTAGAGACTGCCTTTACTGTTTGCCTTCTGCAGTAAAACCACATTGGAATACACGTGTGAGAGTCCCCAGAGTGCATCAGACAAGTGTATAAATAAAACGAGCTAAGAAAGTACAAGTGTGAGATCATTAAAGTGCTTTGTTCAGACTGATACAAACTTGTGGAAAGAAGCTGTTAGCATGTTAGCATGTTAGCCTATCCAGATGTCCTGCAGCTCAGCCAACAATATCTTCTGCCAGAGGGAAGAAGCTGGAACATAGCTTTTTCAGGAGCCAGAAGAGTCATTGATTATTCTAAGAGCTCGGTTCAACAGTCTGGGATTCATAAAGAACCTCCAGAACAGGCAGCTCATAGTCCTCTTTCAGTGTGGGGTCTCTCTCTGGTCTCTCTCTGGTCTCTTTCTCTGGTCTCTTTCCGGTCTCTCTTGCTCTAGTCTCTCTCTGTTCTCTCTCTTTGGTCTCTTTCTCTGGTGTTTCTCTGGTCTCTTTCTGGTCTCTCTCAGGTCTCTCTCTGGTCTCTCTCTGGTGTTTCTCTGGTCTCTCTCTGGTCTCTCTCTGGTCTTTCTCTGGTCTCTCTCTGGTCTCTCTCTGGTCTCTCTGGTCTCTCTCTGGTCTCTCTCTGGTCTTTCTCTAGTCTCTCTCTGGTCTCTTTCTCTGGTGTTTCTCTGGTCTCTCTCTGGTCTCTCTCTCTGGTCTCTCTCTCTGGTCTCTCTCTGGTCTTTCTCTGGTCTCTCTCTGGTCTCTCTCTGGTCTCTCTGGTCTCTCTGGTCTTTCTCTGGTCTCTCTCTGGTCTCTCTCTGGTCTCTCTGGTCTCTCTGGTCTTTCTCTGGTCTCTTTCTGGTCTTTCTCTGGTCTCTCTCTGGTCTCTCTCTGGTCTCTCTCTGGTCTCTGGTCTCTCTCTGGTCTCTGGTCTCTCTCTGGTCTCTCTCTGGTCTCTCTCTGGTCTCTGGTCTCTCTCTGGTCTCTTTCTGGTCTTTCTCTGGTCTCTCTCTGGTCTCTGGTCTCTCTCTGGTCTCTCTCTGGTCTCTGGTCTCTCTCTGGTCTCTTTCTGGTCTTTCTCTGGTCTCTTTCTGGTCTTTCTCTGGTCTCTCTCTGGTCTCTCTCTGGTCTCTGGTCTCTCTCTGGTCTCTCTGGTCTCTCTCTGGTCTCTCTCTGGTCTCTCTCTGGTCTCTCTCGCTCTATTCTCTCTCTACCAAATGATTCAGGCTCTGACTCTTTAAGAAGAGCTTTTTGTACTCTGAGTTTTTGGACTTTTTCCACATCTGACGACCTCCACCTTTTGTTCTTTCTGCTGCAAAACTGTTTCGACGAGAGAAGAACAACCTCTTCTATCACCACTTTTGGATTTGTTTTTATCACAGGGGATAAACCGCCACCATGGTCTGCTATAGTCCAAATAACCCATGGTTCTATGAGCTGGTCCTGAAACATGATCTTGAGAGTATTTATTATGGGATTTCCCAGTGGCCTTTAGAGGTGTGTGTGTGTGTGTGTGTGTGTGTGTGTGTGTGTGTGTGTGTGTGTGTGTGTGTGTGTGTGTGTGTGTGTGTGTGTGTGTGTGTGTGTGTGTGTGTGTGTGTGTGTGTGTGTGTGTGTGTGTGTGTGTGTGTGTGTGTGTGTGTTACTCTAACAAAACACAATTTTTTTAAAAAGCTAAAGTCTTCATTCTCAAGATCATCTCTGTGGTCTCTCTCTCTCTCTTGTCTCTGTCTCTGGTCTATATCTAGGTCCCTCTCTCTGGTCTCTCTCTCTCTCTGGTCTCTAAATGACTGGGTTTTTAAGATAAGATACTCCTTTACTCGTCCCACAGTGGGGAAATGTCAGTGTTGTCGTTGCACAGGACTCTCGCCATTCTCCACATCCTCTGCTCCTTATGGACCAATGGCATTTCCTGAGTTTGAGCTGATTCTCTGATCTGTGTTGGTGAATCGACAGCTTTGTAAAGTCCTCCGAGATAACGTCTGATTAAGATTTAGGGCCGTACAAAAATACATTCAATTGATATGAATGTACTTACTCGGGCGACACGTGGCTGAGTGGTTAGCACTGTCGCGTCTCAGCAAGAAGGTCCTGGGTTTGGGTCCTCGGTCGGAATAGGGCTTTTCTGGAGTGGAGTTTGCATGTTCTCCCTGTGTCTGCGTAGGTTTCTTCCGGGTGCTCCGGTTTCTCCTACCACTAAAAACAATGCATGGTGTTTGGTCAGAGGCTTTGATGGTCCAGTGTGTTCGGCGAGAAAATTGGACAATATCTGAACTCTGAAAATTGTGAAACGCTTTAAAGACCTTATGACGGGTTTGATTTATTTAGAAATACAGTTTTAATACCATTTTATATTAGAAGAGAACTACTAAAGGTTTTAAAATCAGTTGTTGTTTTTTTTGTCTGATCCCCCCAAATCGAAATAACCCCATAGCAACGCCCTTAGAAACGAAAAAACTTCACAGCCCTTGGTGACGTCAGAGTGGGTACGTTTCAACGCTGTAAGTTGTTTACAATTTGGTATTCGTTCTTTTTTCGCGGATATTCAAGATGACAAGGCCGTGTACAGCGAGTCTAAGATAACTACTAGAATGTTACATTTCGTTGTCACTGAGATGGACTGCCAATCTAGATACTGGGGTTCAATTCCCACCTCGGACACTTTTTCACACTCAAAACGGCAATTTATGTGTAGTGAGCAATTGTCACCTGTAGAGGGCAGTATTGTGTTGGGCATCAGTGGAGAGAAGAGAGAAAAGGCAGTCCTGTGGCATAGATCCATGGTTTTCAATGCATGGGCGTAACCCGCTATGACGTCACACACAGGTTAGAGCATAGACAGCTTAAATTCATGAAAAACACGTTCTTTTTATAAAATATAGGATTTTTTTTGCCGGAATCTCTTTCAAATTGACATTGTCATGCAATTTTGATACCCACTATTTTTTTTTTAAAAACCCGTCATAAGGTCTTTAAGTGACCTGCAAAAATGCGCTATATAAATAAACAGGACTTACTCATCCCGGTTGGACCAGGGCCTTTCTGAGTGGAGTTTGCATGTTCTCCCCGTGTCTGCGTAGGTTTCCTCCGGGTGCTCCGGTTTCCCCTACCACTAAAAATATGTACAATAGTTCTGGCATGTGCCTCCTGTACTGGCACCCCCACCCAACAATTGTAAACCGCTTTGAGACTCCGATGTGCAGTGAAAAGGCGGTATATAAATAAAGCTTACTTACTTACTTACTTACTCACTTGTTCATTGTTTGGTGTGCTCTGCTCGTGGTGAGAACAGTGTGTTTCATGTGTGTGTGTTTCTGTGTGTGTCTGTTGTGTGTGTGTTGCAGGAGAACCACTGCCTCCGCATCAAGATCTTGGGCGACTGTTACTACTGTGTGTCTGGTTTACCTGAGGCCCGGGCTGACCACGCCCACTGCTGCGTGGAGATGGGCGTCGACATGATCGAGGCCATTTCGTGAGTTAAAAATCAAACATGTTTTAAAGACCTTAGCAAAAAAACACACACACACACACACAAACACACACACACACACACACACAGACGCTCACAGGGAAAGGATTCATAATTGCATTGGTTTTATTCAGAGCTTTTCAGGACGCTCAAAGACGCTTCGAATGTCATTAATCATTCACTCCATACACAGTAGCCACAGCCGCCCTGGGACAGAGTGACAGATGTGAGGCAACCAGTCTGTGCCATCAGCCCCTCCCACCACCAACCATTCACACACACACACCAGACTCATTCTAATGTGGGTGAAGTGTCTTGCCTAAGGACACTACAACTGATGGGTGTCAAACCGAAGCACAGTGGATGCCTCGCTTCTGCCGCTGTGCCCCGGGGCGGCTGCGGCTACACTATTGAACGAACATTGAGTGTCATAAAAAAGCTCTAGATAAAACCAATGCAACGTAATCCATTTTTCCATTAGAGCTGCTGCTTGTGGCTGAGTGGTTAGCATGCTCTCTCTTCTCAGCAAGAAAGTTCTGGGTTTGATTCCAAACAGGCCGTTTCTGTGGGAACTTTGCATGTTCTCCCTGTGTCTGTGTAGCTTTACTCTGCATGCTTTCCCTACCACTAAACAAAGTAGAAAAGCTCTTCTGTCAAAAATCTCCTGATTAAATAAACGCCAATACTACACTGCAAAAAATATCCAATATGAGCTCACAATTGCTTCCTCTGAGCACATTCTGACTGTGTTAAAACAAGATTCTTAAATGGGACAAAGCCATTTAGTTTTTTTTAAGAACTGTTGCTTTATTTTCTCATTCCAAGGGAGACATTTCTTGTATCTTTTTAAAATAAGATCCTTTTGCTTTGTCCCTTTGGGAAATCAAGGCTCAGTCAGAATGTGCTCAAATGAAAGTAACAATATGTAAGATTTTCATGTCTCGTCATCATTAAAGGGCTCTCATCTGTCAAAAGGCATTAATAAACTTTAACTGATCACAATAGTTTTTCAAAATTAGTTTTACAGCTCCTAAATCTTGTCATTTTCATTGTTCTGTCCCGCCCTCCACTTTCACCAATCAGAAAGTCTGTGATCCGGGCGCCAGAACTCACCGCGTGGAGCTAATCTCACTGGTAAAGTACCATGTGGAGCAGAACTAAAAAAGGTCTCGTTATGATTCTCAAGTCATTAACGTCAAAACAAGGAATAAAACCAGGATTTCTATCTTTGTGAAAAAGTTGTTGGTTATAGATTTGTTGTTGACAAAACTCTTGTCTATTCAGCTGTTATGGTCCCAGCTGGATTCGTCTGCATATCTGGCAACCTGAGTCAGGGAGAGTGGGAGAGGCTGCAGTACCACTTTTGGCCAGAATTTTTCACATTCTGCTCCTTTTAAGATACACTTAGCCAAATTTGAATATTTTTTTGTCACTTCTTGCAGTTTTTATCCGTGTGTGCTGCTGAGTGCCGTGTCCTGTCACCTCCACCTCACCTTCCCCTTCTTCTCACCAGTAACAGTTGTATATTGACCTGTTTGTACCATGTGTGACGGCTGTGGCTGCAGGCTGGTGCGGGAGGTGACCGGGGTGAACGTGAACATGCGGGTGGGCATCCACAGCGGCCGGGTGCACTGCGGCGTCCTGGGGCTCAGGAAGTGGCAGTTCGACGTCTGGTCCAACGACGTGACGTTAGCCAATCAGATGGAGGCTGGAGGACAAGCTGGGTATGTCTGCTCCACTGTAAAAGATATTCAATGAGAACGGTTACATGATGGTTTTGTGGGATTTTTGTGTACAGCTGCTCTTTATGACACTAGTCTAACAGGAAACAGGACTTTTGTGGCTCGCACTGTGCAGATTGACACTCTCTCTGGTCTCTCTCTGGTCTCTCTCTAGTCTCTCTCTGGTCTCTCTCTGGTCTCTGGTCTCTCTCTAGTCTCTCTCTGGTCTCTCTCTGGTCTCACTGGTGTCTCTCTCTGGTCTCTCTCTCTGGTCTCTCTCTCTGGTCTCTCTCTGGTCTCTCTCTAGTCTCTCTCTGGTCTCTCTCTGGTCTCACTGGTGTCTCTCTCTGGTCTCTCTCTCTGGTCTCTCTCTCTGGTCTCTCTCTGGTCTCTCTCTAGTCTCTCTCTGGTCTCTCTCTGGTCTCACTGGTGTCTCTCTCTGGTCTCTCTTTCCAGTCCCCTCTCGTGTATCTTTCTGTTCTCTCTTTCCAGTCTCACTGGTCTCTCTCAGGTTTCTCTCTCTTTCTCTCTCTCTCAGGTCTCTCTCTGGTCTCTCTCTCTGGTCTCACTGGTGTCTCTCTCTGGTCTCTCTCTCTGGTCTCACTGGTGTCTCTCTCTGGTCTCTCTTTCCAGTCTTTCTGGTCTCTCGCTCTCTCTCAGGTTTTCTTCTGGTCTCTCTTTCCAGTCTCTTTAGTCTCTCTCTCTCTCTCTGGTGTCTCTTTCTGGTCTCTCTCTCATGTGTCTCTTTCCAGTCTCTTTAGTCTCTCTCTCTGGTCTCTCTTTCCAGTCTCTTTAGTCTCTCTCTTTCTCTTTCAGATGTCTCTCTCAGGTCTCTCTCTGGTCTCTCTCTCTGGTCTCTCTCTGGTCTCTCTCTCTGGTCTCTCTCTCTGGTCTCTCTCTGGTCTCTCTCTCTGGTCTCTCTCTCTGGTCTCTCTCTGGTCTCTCTCTCTTCATCAGTCGTGAGTTCAGGTGGTTCCAAAAGTGTATAAAATGTGAGGGTTTTAAAGCCTTAAAAACAAACAGCTGCTACTTCACAGATTTCACTAAATGCATGTAATTCTTAGAACGTAACCTGCTTTTGAAAATATTCAAACTAGTCTAATTTATTTTGCTCGATCAGGACACATGTCGACCTGTGTGCGCAGATTGTGAAAACCTAGTCCGTTTGCCGTAGTTGAACAGGTAAACGTTAAATTGAAAAGAAATGATGTAAATCTAAACCAACAAATAATCTTCTGAAAAGCCTCGGCTACACAGGCGTCCATGTCTGAGACTATTGAGTAATCCAAACTCAAATAGTCTCAGAAACCTGTCAATCCCTCGCTGTAGGTTTATTATCTATCTTTCCTTCACATCAGTGCAGGGGTGTCCAAACATTTTAGTAAGAGGCCACTTTAGTTCACCAGACCAGTCCAGGGGCCGACATCACGGACTGAAAAACTGTCTTGACTGGCATTGGGCTGTTCTGAGCTTTAAAATGATCTATAGCGGCGCTGAAGTTGGCTGAATGATAAATGTCTACCATCTTGACTGAATTCCAGATGTACTGGGCTTTATAAAAAGTTACGACATGTCTATATAGGCTGAGCTGAAGTTGGATGGATGACACAGTGAACTTGTCTACATGATCTCAGACACTATTGTGGGTTAGCGAGGCAGAGGGCCACATAAAAGGACAATGAGGGCCGCAATTGGTCCCCGGGCCTGAGTTTGGACACGCCTGCTATAGTGGCTTTTGATGACACTAAAAATATCCTTAAAAAGCTTACATTTTACTTGACCAAACTTGGATCCTTTCAGTTCACTAAAAAGACAAAACTAAAAAGATATTTGTTTTGATTTGCTTTCAGCCAATTTCACAGTTTAATATTTAAACTGGATAAACTACAAACTTGCTTTTAATTTTAGTCTGAATAAATAGTTTTTTAGTTATTTTGTCTTTACTTTGGACTGAGCAAATAGATAAAGCACTGCTCTGTAAATCTTGTGTTCCAGCCGTATCCACATCACCAAAGCCACTCTGAACTATCTGAACGGAGACTACGACGTGGAGCCGGGGTCTGGAGGAGAGAGAAACGTTTATCTGAAGAAACACAACATCGACACCTACCTCATCCTGGGCTGCAGTCAGAAGAGGGTGTGTGTGTGTGTGTGTCTGTGTGTCTGTGTCTGTGTCTGTGTGTCTGTGTCTGTCTGTGTGTCTGTGTGTCTGTGTGTCTGTGTCTGTGTGTCTGTGTCTGTGTGTCTGTGTCTGTCTGTGTGTCTGTCTGTGTGTCTGTGTGTCTGTGTCTGTCTGTGTGTCTGTGTCTGTGTGTCTGTGTCTGTGTCTGTGTCTGTGTGTCTGTGTCTGTCTGTGTGTCTGTGTGTGTGTGTGTCTGTGTGTGTGTGTGTGTGTCTGTGTGTCTGTGTCTGTCTGTGTGTCTGTCTGTGTGTCTGTGTGTCTGTGTCTGTCTGTGTGTCTGTGTCTGTGTCTGTGTGTCTGTGTCTGTCTGTGTGTCTGTGTGTGTGTGTGTCTGTGTGTGTGTGTGTGTGTGTGTGTGTGTGTGTGTCTGTGTGTCTGTGTGTCTGTGTCTGTGTGTCTGTGTCTGTGTGTCTGTGTCTGTGTCTGTGTCTGTGTGTCTGTGTGTCTGTGTGTCTGTGTCTGTCTGTGTGTCTGTCTGTGTGTCTGTCTGTGTGTCTGTGTGTCTGTGTGTCTGTGTCTGTGTGTCTGTGTCTGTGTGTCTGTGTCTGTGTGTCTGTGTCTGTCTGTGTGTCTGTGTCTGTGTGTCTGTGTCTGTCTGTGTGTGTCTGTGTGTCTGTGTGTCTGTGTGTCTGTGTGTCTGTGTCTGTGTCTCTGTCTCTGTCTCTGTCTCTGTCTCTGTGTGTGTCTGTGCGCGTGTGGCTGTACGGGTGGGGGTGTGTGTCTCTCTGTGTCTGTGTGTGCGTCTGTGTGTTTGCGTGCGTGACTCTGTGTGTGTGTCTGAGTGTATGACTGTTTGTCTATGTGTGTGTCTGTGTGTGTCTGTGTGTGTGTGTGTCTGAGTGTGTGTCTGTTTGTCTGTGTGTGTGGGTGTCTGTACATGTGTCTCTGTGTGTGTGTTACTGTGTCTGTGTGTCTCTTTGTCGGTGTGCGTGCGTATGTCTGTGTATGTGTGGGTCTGTGCCTTTTCCCATTGTGTGTGTGTGTGTGTGTGTGTCTGTGTATGTGTGTGTGTCTCTCTGTCACTATGTGTGTCTCTGTGTGTCTCTGTGCGAGTGCGTCTATGTGTCTGTGTCTGTGTGCGTGTCTCTCTTTCACTATGTGTGTGTCTGCATGTCTGTGTGTGAGTGTGTCTGTGTGTGTGTGTCTATGTCTCGTGTCAAACCAGACCAGGCCACCAGAGGGCAGCAGAAGTCTATACCATGAACTGGACTCATCTAATGTCTCCTTACCTTGTTGTTTATTGTGTAAATACTGTTGTTTTTTTTACTGTAATCCTTTCCTGGTAAATTATTTTGTATTCTAGCACTTATTGCACAACACTTTTATGCGACCGTGCAATATTATCCCCTAATGTTGTGTTGAAATAGTTGATTGTTGTGATGCTGAGACTGTCTATATGTTTGTGTCCAACTGCAACCAGAGCCTAAGACAATGTGGTAGTCCAAAAAAAAAAAAAAAATCAATAATAAAGTCCATTGTTAGAATATGGAATCAAAACATTGGGATATTTGAGAAACACTTGATAAGAATTGATATATAAATACAGAATATATTCATGGAGTCATGTATAAGATCAGATAAACTTTATTGATCTCACACTGCAGAAAAGTACACGTCAGATTTGGCACCGAAAGAAGTCTATTGTCGTTTGCAGAAAGAGGAGAAAGCCCTGATCGCCAAAATGAACCGACAGAGGACCAACTCTGTGACCCACAACAGCGGACACTGGACCGACCGGCCGTTTTACAACCACCTCGCCGGGAACCAGATCTCCAAAGAAATGAAGCGGATGGTGAGAAAGTCTGACGTTTTTTCTCCTCGGAGACGACAGGTGTCAAATTTCTCTCCTGCTAACGCCTGCTAAGGCAAAAATACCGTATAGGGCTGCACCATATTGGAAATGATAGCGATTTTCGATATGGGTATGCAGTATTTTGATATTACAATACATTACAATACAATTTATTCTTGTATAGCCCTAGGTAACAACAGAAGTCATCTCAGAGGACTTAACAAAACCATTGAAATCACCAACACAGGTCAGAGAATCAACAGTTAAAACACATGAAGAATATAAAGCACCCACAGAAGAAAATGTCCATACATGTTGTAGAATGCTAAAGTGTCCTGATCATCACCAATCCTTTCTGTTGGACACTAACTGTCCAACAAGACCCTCCTGCATCGACAAGGAAAAACTCTTAAAAAACCCAGTGGGAAAAAGTGAGAAACCTTGGAGGAGAACTAGGGAAACCCACAGGGAGGGAGACCCATATGAGAAAGGGATCCGCTCCTCCGGACGGACAGGCTAATGATCTAGGACCTAAGCTAGCTACAGAACGTGGACCAGTGGCCGCTGAACGTGGACAGGTCCGGTGCAGGACTGAAGCACTCCCAGGCGGGTCGGGCGGGGCAGTCCGCAGGTGTAGATGGAAGAGGCCAGGCTCAGAGATCCCGTCATCGTACCATGAAACAGACAATGGGACAACGGGTGAATAGCAATGAACAAACTACAGTCAAAATCCTTATAATGCTAAACAGATAAAGTAGATAAAGTAGGAAGGAGGAGAGGATAGTGCTGTTACCATACTTCTCCAGCAGGGGGCTCCCTATGCAGCTTGACTGACAGTCTGAGGAGTTTATTGCAATATTTTTGTGGATGGACATAGACACGCCCACAGCATGCTATTGTCCAATCACATGTCCTCCTTTCACTCCAGGGTAAGACAACAGTTTTATATGAATAAGTCAAAAAGTACATAGTAATTGAAATGTTATGGGGGATGGGTGGATAGTATTTCGATATTATTGTGATAATTTTGTCTTTCACCTAAAAATAAATCTGCATTGAACCACAAGAGTAACATCTCGAGACAAGGCAAGTTTATTTTTATAGCACAATTTCATACACAAGGCAGCTCAAAGTGCTGAACAAAACAAGATTAAAATCATAAATAATTACCGTACATTAAAAAGCAAGATAAAAATATAAAATCCCTCAGTTGTATGCACAGAGTTTGGCAGCATGAATCTGAAATGGCTAATTGACTGCAAGCCGTTTTTGATGATTTCACTGATTTTCAAGACCCACAGAATATTGTGTGCTATGACCATGTGGAAAAGGAAAGCAGATTCTGAAAGACTGGATTGTCTACTTTCAGCAGCAAAAGAAAGTTTGTTTGTAGCTTGTTTTGTTCTTCTGTAATCCCTGCTCGAAAAGAGGGAGGTTTGATAGAAATTGCCGGGTCTCAGTCAAATATGTGAAATGCAGTAAGACACATTTTAAAGTCAGATCTTGTTTAAAGTTGCCGATTCCATAAACACAGAATTAACAAAGAGTCTGCACTTTTGTTTGTATCGTAACAGCTGCAGTTAAAGATGTGTGTCGTTAATGCTGTTTGTGGAGTTTCGATTGTAAATACACAACATAAAGTACCCTATTTTATTGCATATTTTTGACGTCATAATAGACATTTTTTTACTTTATTACTCTTATTTTTTATTTTTTGACATAAGGAGAGGACAGTTTGTTGCTGTGTATGTAACATGAAAAGAGTGTGAAGAGATGAAGTAAAGTACAACATTTTTTTCATATTTTTCTTTTTCATATGAACCTGTTTTATTGATCCAGCAACAATTGTGTGCATTCTGAAGTCCACATAACTTTCCATTCAAACCATAAATATGTAAATACCGGCAGATTGGCTCCAGAATAAATGTGTTTTATTCTCCCGGGTCAGCTCCAGGTGCTCCAGCTCTTATGGATCCTGTGGCATAATGTCTGTTTTGTCATTTTGTTTTTTTGTTATCTCTCTTTGCCCCAGCTCCATCCCGCCCACATGGCTTTGTTGTGTCTGAGTACTGCTAATGGGAGCGGATTGGACACATCAGAACTCCCGTTATTTTCTCTTTAAAGGGGACATATCTGTTGTCCACATAAAATGTTTTTACAGGAGCTCTCAAAAGTGCTGCGAGTTCTGGTACTGGTCGATAATAAATGTATCCTGCACAATCAATCATTTATTTGTATAGCACAATTTGTGTTCAAGGCAATTCAAAATGCTTCACAAGAGCAAGAATTCAAAAACACAGATCAAAATGCTTTAACCCTCTCAGGGTCCACTTAAAGGAGCTTTACCCGTTTCTGCAATGTTTTAATGTTTAGCCCCGCCCCCAACTCGCTCACAGGCTTCTCATTTCCTCTACGCTCTCATCCCACGGAGCCATCTAGTTTAATTTGTGATCTATATGCTAACATTAGCATGAGCACTTCTTGTAAGCCGTACAACAATCACTGATGAAATGGTACAAAAGCAACGCACTGCTAACACAATATATAACTGAAAGATTACTGCTAGTTCTGCGTCCAAATGTAGTCTGAGCGTAGATAGTCCGAGCGTAGATAGTCCGAGCGTAGATAGTCCGAGCGTAGATAGTCCGAGCGTAGATAGTCCGAGGGTAGATAGTCCGAGCGTAGATAGTCCGAGCGTAGATAGTCCGAGCGTAGATAGTCCGAGCGTAGATAGTCCGAGCGTAGATAGTCCGAGCGTAGATAGTCCGAGCGTAGACAGTCCGAGCGTAGATAGTCCGAGCGCATAGATAGTCCGAGCGTATATAGTCCGAGCGTAGATAGTCCGAGGCGGTCCCGCAGGTCTCTCCCATAGACCAGTCTCTCCAGAGGATACGATGTAAGCTAGCTCTGTTCAGGGCTTGGTTTCTTCTTTGATCATGTTGTGGCTTTAGTTCCTCTTCTCTTCCTCACTGTTGTGTGGTTTGGGCTGTTTTGCTGTGTCTGCAGTTACAGCCAGAGGAGTTATAGCCACTTATGCTAACATGCTACTGTGTTTAGCAGCGCTGTAGAGGCTAGAGGACGCAGCCTCGTTCTGTGATTGGAGGAGAGCGGGCGTCACGCTAAGTCTCTACTCAGCACTTTTTACGTCCTGAGTTCATACACAGCTGAATCAATGAGCTCAAGTTTTACATTAAATTACAGATTATTATACAACTAGTATGTAGTAATAAGCATTTTTATGAACTCTTATCTTTGGGGAAAATGATATGTGTTAGTAATATACAATCCTTTTTGAGAGAGACCTTCACAGGTATTGCATTCTGGGATGTTGCAGATTTGCAGCATTGCTGCTGTGGTAAATAGAGCTGACCCGGGGAAAAACCTTGAGGAGATATAATCTACTTATTGGCATGTTCTGTATCTATATTTATTCATCTTTCATTTTATTCAGTTTCGGTTTCAAATTATCAGAGGTTTGTCGTGAAACTGACTTGAAATTGATGTCTAGAAAATCGGTGAAAACCGAGGACACTGATATCTGTTGCAAACGCTCAACTAAGTCCAGCTGTGGAACTTCTGAGTAAAAAAGGTCAAAAATATGGCTGTGGAGTAGTTTAGTAATAACAAATGAAGTTGTTGCAAATCTGCAACAATACAATTACAATACAATACAATTTATTCTTGTATAGCCCTAGGTCACAACAGAAGTAATCTCAGAGACTTAACAAAACCATTGAAATCACCAACACAGGTCAGAGAATCAACAGCCAAAACACATGGAGAATATAAAGCACACACAGAAGAAAATGTCCATACATGTTGTAGAATGCTAAAGTGTCCTGATCATCACCAATCCTTTCTGTTGGACACTAACTGTCCAACAAGACCCTCCTGCATCGACAAGGAACAACTCTTAAAAAACCCAGTGGGAAAAAGTGAGAAACCTTGGGGAGAACTAGGGAAACCCACAGGGAGGGAGACCCATATGAGAAAGGGATCCGCTCCTCCGGACGGACAGGCTAATGATCCAGGACCTAAGCTAGCTACAGAACGTGGACCAGTGGACGCTGAACGTGGACAGGTCCGGTGCAGGACCGAAGCACTCCCAGGCGGGTCGGGCGGGGCAGTCCGCAGGTGTAGATGGAGGAGGCCAGGCTCAGAGATCCCGTCATCGTACCATGAAACAGACAGTGGGACAACGGGTGAATAGCAATGAACAAACTACAGTCAGAATCCTAAAAATGCTAAACAGATAAAGTAGGAAGGAGGAGAGGATAGTGCTCAAGTTACCATACTTCTCCCAGCAAACTGACTCCCTATGCAGCTTGACTAACACTCTGAGGAGTTTAACCTTCCCTTACAACAACTGTCTGGACAGTGTTAAAAAACTAAAAAGACCAATATAAGACAATATGCAATAATTTCATGCATTCAATAATGTTCTGTTTCATCTTTTATTCTCACTGCATATGTTTCTAAAACAGCGAGATCAGTCTAATCAGTGACATTTTCCATTATCATTTCAAACATAACCTTGAGACCCTGCGACAGCCCGCTCCCTGCGCCGCGCTCTACACACACATAAACCTCGTGTTATCTGCGCTCTCCACCGGATTAGCTTCTGATCCTGACACTGCATTTGTGCTTCGACTTTTGGGTCCAACTTGGAGGAAACTTAAGCGAACGAGGCACTGCTTAATCCCCCTCATCCCTACGGCATGATTTATCCAGTCACTGCTTCCTCCAATCTCCAAAGATCTCATTAAAAAGACGGCCCGGAGCCACAGAGGACGCCACATTGTGTCTGTCGGTTCATTCTTTGTGTTGACAAAGCTCTGTGGTTTGATTTGTGCTGGAAAATGTGTAGAAGACGCATGGATGTGAGTGTAATACTGCTGTTCGTCCACTGGGGGGAAACCTCGCACCACAGATGAACTTAATAAATACATATTAATAATTGATAGTTGTTCTAATAAAACAGTAGAACTACACTGAGAAAAGTAACATCTTTATAAAAATAACATACATTTAGCTAATTTCCCCACTGGCAATCTTTTTTTTTAGCTTGAATGTAGTTTATGATTGTTACTAGTTTTAAGATAATAATACTTTATTTTTTCCAGACAACTCATCTTGTTGTTTAGAAGGTCTACCATGTCTCTCCCTCTCTCTATTTGGTCTCTACCGTGTCTCTCTCTGATCTCTACCATGTCTGTCTCCCTCTCTCTATTTGGTCTCTACCGTGTCTCTCTCTGATCTCTACCATGTCTGTCTCCCTCTCTCTATTTGGTCTCTACCGTGTCTCTCTCTCTCTCTCTATCTTGTCTCTACCGTGTCTCTCTCTCTATCTGGTCTCTACCGTGTCTCTCTCTCTCTCTCTATCTGGTCTCTACCGTGTCTCTCTCTGATCTCTACCATGTCTGTCTCTCTCTCTATTTGGTCTCTACCGTGTCTCTCTCTGATCTCTACCATGTCTGTCTCTCTCTCTATCTGGTCTCTACCATGTCTCTCTCTGATCTCTACCATGTCTGTCTCCCTCTCTCTATTTGGTCTCTACCGTGTCTCTCTCTCTCTCTCTATCTTGTCTCTACCGTGTCTCTCTCTCTATCTGGTCTCTACCGTGTCTCTCTCTCTATCTGGTCTCTACCGTGTCTCTCTCTCTCTCTCTATCTGGTCTCTACCGTGTCTCTCTATCTTGTCGCTACCGTGTCTCTCTCTCTCTCTCTATCTTGTCTCTACCGTGTCTCTCTCTCTATCTGGTCTCTACCGTGTCTCTCTCTCTCTGGTTTCTACCGTGTCTCTCTCTCTCTCTCTCTCTCTATCTGGTCTCTACCGTGTGTGTGTCTCTCTCTCTCTCTCTCTCTCTCTATCGTGTGTCTCTCTCTCTCTCTATCTGGTCGCTATCGTGTGTCTCTCTCTCTCTCTATCTGGTCTCTACCGTGTCTCTCTCTCTTTCTCTCTATCGGGTCTCTTCCAGGTCTCTCTCTCTTTCTCTCTCTCTATCGGGTCTCTTCCACGTCTCTCTCTCTTTCTCTCTCTCTATCGGGTCTCTTCCAGGTCTCTCTCTCTCTCGTCTCTCCCGCATCTCTGTCTCTCTAATCTCTCCCTCGTCTCTCTCTCTGGTCTCTCTCTCTCTCTCTCTGGTCTCTCCCGGGTCTCTCTCTCTCTCTGGTCTCTCACGGGTCTCTCTCTCTGGTCTCTCCCGGGTCTCTCTCTCTCTCTCTCTCTCTCTGGTCTCTCACGGGTCTCTCTCTCTCTGGTCTCTCCCGGGTCTCTCTCTCTCTCTCTGGTCTCTCACGGGTCTCTCTCTCTCTGGTCTCTCCCGGGTCTCTCTCTCTCTCTCTCTCTGGTCTCTCCCGGGTCTCTCTCTCTCTCTCTCTGGTGTCTCACAGGTCTCTCTCTCTCTGGTCTCTCCCGGGTCTCTCTCTCTCTATCTCTGGTCTCTCCCGGGTCTCTCTCTCTCTGGTCTCTCCCGGGTCTCTCTCCCGGGTCTCTCTCTCTCTCTCTGGTGTCTCACAGGTCTCTCTCTCTCTGGTCTCTCCCCGGTCTCTCTCTCTCTCTCTGGTGTCTCACAGGTCTCTCTCTCTCTGGTCTCTCCCGGGTCTCTCTCTCTCTCTCTGGTCTCTCACGGGTCTCTCTCTCTCTGGTCTCTCCCGGGTCTCTCTCTCTCTCTCTCTCTGGTCTCTCACGGGTCTCTCTCTCTCTGGTCTCTCCCGGGTCTCTCTCTCTCTGGTCTCTCCCGGGTCTCTCTCTCTCTCTCCCTGTCTTTCTAATGTCACGTATAGCAGCCTGTTCCATAACTTCATCTCTGTCCTGTTTTTCATTTCAAAATCTTAAACGATTGGACGATAAACGCCATTTTGAAGTTTCCACCTAATTATTTTCTGCTCCTGTGTCTTTCCAGGGATTCGAGGACCCGAAGGACAAGTGAGTAAAGCTTTTATTGCTTTTTATTGGACATCTCCTCTACGCTATTGCACTGTCCGTCCATAAAAACCCTCGATAAAAGCATCCGCCCAAAGGAGTAGTTACAGTAAAAAGGAAGAACATATTGTGGATTATTTCTTTGGTCTTAAAACGGGAAGAGGAGCTGCTGATGCTGCGTTGGTTTCATTAGACTTAGATTCTTTTGGAAGCAGAAAAACTCCACAGAAGTTGTATAAGTGCAGTGTCTTTGGATAAATGGTGAGAATATGTCTCCTTTAGGGAATGTATCGCGGAGGTTACGTTCTGAAAATAACCTTCAGAAAGTGAAGTTCTCTCAGTGGCAGCTGTAGGTTTGAAGGCTGTAAAACTCCCAAACTGTATACACTTTTTACTGATGAAGTGAGAGAGCAGAGAGAGAGAGACCAGAGAGAGAGCAGAGAGAGAGAGACCAGAGAGAGAGCAGAGAGAGAGAGACCAGAGAGAGAGCAGAGAGAGAGACCAGAGAGACCACAGAGAGAGAGAGACCGGAGTGAGACCAGAGAAAGACCACAGAGACAGAGAGACCAGAGAGAGAGCAGAGAGAGACCAGAAATAGAGTCCAGAGAGACCTCAGAGAGACCACAGAGAGAGAGAGACCAGAGTGAGACCAGAAAGAAAATCCAGAGAGAGACCTCAGAGAGACCACAGAGAGAGAGAGACCAGAGAGAGGGACCACAAAGGGGCCAGAGAGAGGGACCAGAGAGAGACGAGAGAGACTAGAGAGAGAGAGACCAGAGTGAGACCATAAAGAGAATCCAGAGAGAGACCTCAGAGAGACCACACAGAGAGAGAGACCAGAGAGAGGGACCAGAAAGGGACCAGAGAGAGGGACCAGAGAGGAACCAGAGAGGAACCAGAGAGGGAGACCAGAGAGGGAGACCAGAGAGGGAGACCAGAGAGGGAGACCAGAGAGGGAGACCAGAGAGGGAGACCAGAGAGGGAGACCAGAGGGACCACAGAAAGACCAGAGAGAGACCAGATACAGTAATAATAATCCGCTAATGGCTCGTGGCATCCCATTGTTGACGTGCGTCCCGTGTTCCTCAGACACTTCATCTTCCGGAACACTCAGGAGAACCTAAACCCCGAGGACGAAGTGGACGAGTTTCTGGGCAGAGCCATCGACGCCCGAAGCATCGACCGGCTGCGATCTGAGCACGTCAAGAAGTTCCTGCTGACCTTCAGAGAGCCCGACCTGGAGAAGAAGGTGAGAGACCAAAGGTGGTGCTCATGTGACATCACAACAATCCAAAGAGAATGTAGTTTAACGTTGTGGCGGAAGGAGGTGGAAAAGTCTGTCCTGGTTACTATGGCAACTGTTGTCAAAAGTTTTTTGTGCCATTTTCTCAGTCCACATGAAACAAAATCAACTTGGGTCTCATTATTTTTCTCTTTCTAGTCTCTCTCTGGTCTGTCTCGGGTCTCTCTTCGGTCTCCCTCTCTGGTCTCTCTTGTCTCTCTCTCTGGTCTCTACCTGGTCTCTCTTTGGTCTCCCTCTCTCTCTCTCTCTCTCTCTCTCTCTGCTCTCTTTTGTCTCTTTCTGGTCTCTCTCTGGTCTTTCTGCTCTCTCCCTCTGGTCTCCCTCTCTCTGGTCTCTCTCCCTCTGGTCTGTCTCTGGTCTCTCTACCTCTGCGCTCTCTCTCTCTCTGCTCTCTCCCTCTGGTCTCTCTCTGGTCTCTCTCCCTCTGGTCTCTCTCTGGTCTCTCTCCCTCTGGTCTGTCTCTGGTCTCTCCTTCTGCTCTCTCTCTCTCTGGTCTCTCCTTCTGCTCTCTCTCTCTCTGGTCTCTCTCTCTGTGGGCTGCAGGACACATAATTGGTTGTGACGAGCTCATTTCCATTCATTCTCTCTGGTCTCTCTCTCTGCTCTCTCTCGCTCTCTGCTCTCTCTCTCTCTCTCTCTCTCTCTGCTCTCTCTCTCTCTCTGCTGTCTGCTCTCTCTCTCTCTCTCCGATCTCTGCTCTCTCTCTCTCTCTGCTCTCTCTCTCTCTCTCTCTCTGCTCTCTTCTCTCTCTCTCTCTCTCTCTCTGCTCTCTCTCTCTCTCTCTCTCTGCTCTCTCTCTCTCTCTCTCTCTCTCTGCTCTCTCTCTCTCTCTCTCTCTCTGCTCTCTCTCTCTCTCTCTCTCTGCTCTCTGCTCTCTGCTCTCTCTCTCTCTCTCTCTCTCTCTCTCTCTCTCTCTCTCTCTCTCTCTCTGCTCTCTCTCTCTCTCTCTCCCTCTCTCTGCTCTACTCTCTCTCTCTCTCTCTCTCTCACTCTCTCTCACTCTCTCTGATCTCTGCTCTCTGCTCTCTCTCTCTCTCTCTCTCTCTCTCTTCTCTCTCTCTGCTCTCTGCTCTCTCTCTCTCTGCTCTCTCTCTCTCTCCCTCTCTCTGCTCTCTACTCTCTCTCTCTGCTCTGTCTCTCTCTCCCTCTCTCTGCTCTCTCTCTCTGCTCTCTGCTCTCTGCTCTCTGCTCTCTCTCTCTCTCTGCTCTCTCTCTCTGCTCTCTCTCTCTCTCTCTCTCTCTCTCTCTCTCTCTCTCTCTCTCTCTCTCTCTCTCTCTCTCTCTCTCCTCTCTCTCTCTCTCTCTCTCTCTCTCTCTCTCTCTCTCTCTCTCTCTCTCTCTCTCTCTCTCTCTCTCTCTCTCTCTCTCTCTCTCTCTCTGCTCTCTCTCTCTCTGCTCTCTCTCTCTGCTCTCTCTCTCTCTCTCTCTCTCTCTGCTCTCTGCTCTCTCACAGTGCACACCCACAAACAGCAGCAGTGGCGGCGACAGCTTTAGAAATCGTTTTCATGTATTGTTATATTTTGGCCTCTGGGAAGAAATGCCTTAAAGTCTTAAAATGTGAACAAAGCAGATTCAAACTAGTCTTTGCTAAAGCTAGTTCATACCATGTGGACCGGATCTAAGACCATCAGACGTGTCATATTTGTGTTTGTAATCTCTTTGCTTCTGTTTGATTGACAGTATTCCAAACAGGTGGACTCCAGGTTCGGGGCGTACGTGTCCTGTGTCTCTCTGGTCTTTCTCTTCATCTGCTTCATCCACATCGTCATCGTGCCGTAGTAAGTCCTGGAAATACACACTGTAAATATATGTATGTATGTGTGTATATATACTTTCCTATATATAAAAGAACACAGGTAAAGTGTGAGGTAACAAAAGGGGCAGATATTGTGAGACTTCCGTTTCATTCAGACTGTATGGTTTTGGCGCTTTGTTGTTATTGATTAAATAAAATAATACAAATAAAAAGTCCAGTTTGCTGTATTTACACAAACTAGTGCTGTCCTTCTTCATGTCTCCGAAAACACTGTTCCCCTTTAACCCTTTAATGGTTTCTGCAACCACTTTTAGAGTCTTGGAGCTGAGAGAAACCGCTTTGGGGCAACTCACCTGGGTTTTGGTACTTTTACCATCAAACTGCTTTCATCCATTTGGTAAAGGCTTGTAAGGAAAAAAATAAAGAATAATATTAAAGCAAATGATTAATGTTATACCTGTCCTACATCTCAAAAAATGATATCTTTCTTCAAGGACTGAACATTAAAGGGTTAAGCAACTATTAGGACTTTCATCATTATTTTACTTTCATCTTTTTGATATTTTAGCTTCTTTCTTTGATTGACTGGCGTATGTTTATGTTGACTGGCTTATAATCAATGAAGTAAATCATTTTCTTGGTTCCACATCTTTTTTTAAATAATAAGAGTCAGTCTGATAAATGAGTCAAAGAACTGAAAGAAAGAACCAGAACTGAAGTCATTTTAAATCATGAGTGTCAAAGTCGAGGCCCGGGGGCTGGATCCGGCCTGAGAATGAATGATCTTGGCCCCGGGATGATTTTGGATTAGTATTTGAACCGGCCGCACTTATTAAAGGTCTAAAAGAGGATTTTCCCAAATTTTCAGAAAGAACCGCCCTCTCTTTTTAGACAAAACTCTCTGCTCTTATTGGACGAGCACGTATCACCAGAATGATTGACAAGTGGGAGGACCAATAGTCTTGATGATCCACCTGGCAGTAGAAAATCCTCCAATTTACCTTTGATTTAATGTTCAAGACGTGTGTTTTCTCTTTGAAGGAAGTTTGTTTTTGTCTGTGAGCTGTTTCCTGACAGAGCCACAAAAATATTGGATTATCAATTTAATCCTTAAATAAAACACTGTCCACTGTGTTAGGTCTTGGTTCAATGGTTTTGTGCATCATTTTAATAAACATTAATAAACATGCAGTTGTGTCTCTTCCTGCAGCTCTGTTCTGATGCTGAGCTTCTTCGTCTCGTGCCTCGTTATCCTGACGGGCGTCATGTTTGTGTCCACCATCTACTGCTGCTACGGGGTGAGATCATGTGACATCACAACACACACACATAGGAACAATCAGACTATCAGCAGGCGATCGTTTCAAACCTTTTCTTTTTCCTTTTATTAAAGACAACAAAACAGACACACACATCAACATTCAACAAGAATAACAGACAAAGCTTTTACATAACACACACACGGAGAGGGCAGGGGGCTAGACACATACAAAGTGGTTCTTGAGGGCTTAGGTGGTTGTGTGTAGTGTGTGTAGTGTGTGTAGTGTGTGTAGTGTGTGTAGTGTGTGTAGTGTGTGTTGTGTGCGTTGTGTGTAGTGTGTAGTGTGTGTGTGTGTGTGTGTGTGTGTGTGTAGTGTGTGTTGTGTGTAGTGTGTGTTGTGTGTAGAGTGTGTGTGTGTGTTGTGTGTGTAGTGTGTGTTGTGTGTGTGTGTGTGTGTAGGGTGTGTTGTGTGTGGTGTGTGTGTAGTGTGTGTGTGTAGCGTGTGTAGTGTGTGTAGTGTGTGGTGTGTGTGTTGTGTGTGTTGTGTGTGTAGTGTGTGTGTGGTGTGTGTTGTGTGTGTGTAGTGTGTGTTGCGTGTGTAGTGTGTGTTGTGTAGTGTGTGTTGTGTGTGTTGTGTGTGTGTAGTGTGTGGAGTGTGTGTAGTGTGTAGTGTGTGTGTTGTGTGTGTAGTGTGTGTGTTGTGTGTGTAGTATGTGTTGTATGTGTTGTGTGTGTGTAGTGTGTGTAGTGTGTGTAGTGTGTGTGTAGTGTGTGTTGTGTGTAGTGTGTGTTGTGTGTAGAGTGTGTGTGTGTGTTGTGTGTGTAGTGTGTGTTGTGTGTGTGTGTGTGTGTAGGGTGTGTTGTGTGTGGTGTGTGTGTAGTGTGTGTGTGTAGCGTGTGTAGTGTGTGTAGTGTGTGGTGTGTGTGTTGTGTGTGTTGTGTGTGTAGTGTGTGTGTGGTGTGTGTTGTGTGTGTGTAGTGTGTGTTGCGTGTGTAGTGTGTGTTGTGTAGTGTGTGTGTGTGTGTGTGTAGTGTGTGGAGTGTGTGTAGTGTGTAGTGTGTGTGTTGTGTGTGTAGTGTGTGTGTTGTGTGTGTAGTGTGTGTTGTATGTGTTGTATGTGTTGTGTGTGTAGTGTGTGTAGTGTGTGTAGTGTACTGTACAGCAGTGTGTGTGTAGTGTGTGTAGTGTGTGGTGTGTGTGTAGTGTGTGTGGTGTGTGTGTAGTGTGTGTAGCGTGTGTTGTGTGTGTAGTGTGTGTTGTGTGCGTTGTGTGTGTAGTGTGTGCGTTGTGTGTGTAGTGTGTGCAGTGTGTGTAGTGTGTGTTGTGTGTAGTGTGTGTTGTGTGTAGTGTGTGTTGTGTGTGTTGTGTGTGTAGTGTGTGTAGGGTGTGTTGTGTGTGGTGTGTGTGTAGTGTGTGTGTTGTGTGTGTAGCGTGTGTAGCGTGTGTTGTGTGTGTAGTGTGTGTAGCGTGTGTAGCGTGTGTTGTGTGTTGTGTGTGGTGTGTGTGTAGCGTGTGTAGCGTGTTGTGTGTGGTGTGTGTGTAGTGTGTAGTAGGGTTGGGTGATATGGGCCTCAGCATGTATCACGATTTTTGTTGGTATGTATCACGATATGACGATATGATAATTTTAACAAAGCCTCATATAAAAGCTATAAAAACTTAGCACTGATCATTTTAAACACACTTACCTCAAAGTGCATTTACTGATTTATTGGCAGCAAAATGTGCAATAAAGCTATTGTATATAAAACGTATTAACAAAACTGAATTGTAGAGAATTCTGTTTTGTACATACTGAAAATTACAGGCAACATGTCATAAAGGTGAACATTTGTAATTTGTAAAATATATAAAAGTTTGTCCTTTGTAATATAAAAAGTGTAGCATTATCAAATAATTATTTGATCACTTTGGCTTATGTTTCCTAGTCCCAATATAGTCAAAATGATCAAATACTGTATATATTTTTTGTATCCTTTTGTGTTTCTATAATTATGTAATTATAACTTATTTGTAATTATATTGCAATGTAGACAAACACATGCATTGAAGTAAAATGAATGACAGTAAACAGTAAATAAAGCTTACCAATGGCACTATGAGAGAGAGAGAGAGAGAGAGAGAGCGAGTGTCCGAAGCAAGCCACTCGAGTCCAGTTGTTTAGGGCAGCTGCTTTCACAACATTAGATCCACTGTCGATAGTTACACACAATTGCTTCTTTTTATCTAGTTCCCAAACTACTCCCATATGTTTGAGGTAGCTCCGCGTTTTGCAGGGACGTGCGGTGAGGTTTGTGATTGGGGAGGCACTGACTTTAAAAGTCAGATTTACAATCATTATTCAAATAAAATAGCATTTAATCACCAATGCAATGACATCCACAAACTTTATATACTGTAAAGATAAGAGAACCAGCTTCTTTTAATAATCTCACAACAAATCTAGCTGCTGACTCTGCTCCGCATCAAACAACATCTTTAAGAAGCGCAGGTGCGAGAGACGCGAGGAGAGAGAGACGCGAGGAGAGAGGAGCAGAGAGAGACAGAGAGGAGCAGAGAGACGGAGACGCGAGGAGCAGAGAGAGACGGAGACGCGAGGAGAGAGAGACGCGAGGAGAGAGAGACGCGAGGAACATAAACAATAATTTAAACAAGTTGCAGAACTCTTGAGCAGTGTTTGAATCAGTGTTTTTCGGAAAAGCACTACTTTGCCGGTATCTGTCAATGTTCAACATAAAACACAGATTAACAAACTCCTCCCCCGCAGCCGGACTAACCTCGTAAGTCCAGTGGTGGTCTCCCAGTCTATATTAATTCTTTCTTTGTTTGAAAGTCCAATTGAGAAAAAAAATCTTCATTCAAATCATCCATTTTCCAGCAAAAGAAATAGCATTTTGGGCTGATTGTTTGTTAGCAACTCTGGTATGAACTTTATGCTCACTATCACCCCTAGCGGTGAGGCACAGATACCGCCTGCCTCACGCCAAGCTTTTTCCTTGTGTGTTCATCTACGATCAAAAGACTTAAACTAAATATAAATTGTACACACATACGTGCAATACACTACTAAACACTAAGAGGAGTTTAAAAAATGTTTTTAAAGCAGGATATTTGAAACAAACGGTGATATATCAACTGCACGAGCTGAGTGCACTCAGACACACACACACACACTGTGAGGGAGCGGTCTGGGGTGAGGCACGCAGGAGCGCTGCCTCACCTCGTCTCTTTGAATAGGAATAACGGGATTTCGGCGATTTTGACTTCAGAAATGATCAAAACTGATGGGAACCGTGCCGAATATACATTAAAAGCATAGGACAGTGGATATAAATTATATATTTAAACTAAAATAATTATTAGTTTCCAATAATGGCAGGTGAGGCTCTGCCTCCCCTGCCTCCCCTGACTGCACGTCCCTGGCGTTTTGGCACAATGTCTTCTACAATCTGCATGTCTTCACCATGGTCTTCACCGCCGCCCTCAGCCATGTTTGCTCTCTGCTCTGTTGTTGTTGTCCCTGCACGCCGCTCTGCTACACGTGCCGCGCAGATGCGTCATCAAAGTGCGCCGCACACAAACGTGTCTTCCGCTCGCTGTTTTCAGTGTTAAATGATCGTTTTCACCGGTATAAGGCATTTTCTTATCATTTAATTTACTTATACCGGTATACCGGTACAAAAAAAAATATCGCCCAACCCTAGTGTGTAGTGTGTGTAGTGTGTGTTGTGTGTGTTGTGTGCGTGTGTAGCGTGTGTAGCGTGTGTTGTGTGTGTAGTGTGTAGTGTGTGTAGTGTGTGTTGTGTGCATTGTGTGTTGTGTGTAGTGTGTGTGTAGTGTGCGTTGTGTGTAGTTTGTGTTGTGTGCGTAGTGTGCGTTGTGTGTGTTGTGTGTAGTGTGTGTAGTGTGTGTAGTGTGCGTAGAGTGCGTTGTGTATGTGTGTGTGTGTGTGTGTTGTGTTGTGTTGTGTTGTGTGTAGTGTGTTCAGGTGTACGTTACATAAGTCCATTTTGAAGTCAGGCTGGAAAGATAAAGTAAAGTAAACAAAGGACATATTATCGATAAATAAAAATAATTATAGTAATGTTTAAACGTTTAAAACCCGATTAAAGACATTTTCATTGTGCCGTGGATTGTGTTTGATGGTACCGCTTTCCCCTACCTCTAAAAACATGCACACTAGGTTAAATCCTCCAGCTCTGGTCCTGTCCAAGCCAAGCATCAACATCTGGAGGTGGGTTCCCGGGCGCTGTTACTACGGCAACCTTTGCTCCAGACGTAAGCCTTAGCGACATCAGGATGGGTCAAATGCAGACGGGGGATAAGCAAAGTCCACATTTAACCTTAGCTTCAGAATGCTTCTCGTTGTTGATTGTTATGTAAGAACCAAAGCGTCCACAGTATTATACAGTATGTGGTGGTTCTTGGTTTGCAGCTGTTTCCGGCTCCTCTCCAGACTGTGTCCAAGAGGATCGTCCAGTCCCGCCTCAAGAGCACTTTAGTGGGAGTTTTCACCATCGTCCTGGTTTTCCTCTCGGCTTTTATCAACATCGTGAGTCGACTTTAAACTAGTCCAACCATAAACCAGTGATATTTATGGTTTCAGTTAAATTTTGATCTCTCTCTGTTCTCTCTCTAGTCTCTCTCTGGCCTCTCTCTCAGGTCTCTCTCTCTGGCCTCTGGTCTATCTCTCTTGCCTCTCCTCTCTCTGGCCTCTCTATGGCCTCTCTCTCTCTGGTCTCTCTATGGCCTCTCTCTCTCTGGCCTCTCTCTGGCCT